CTGTGAGAAGCTGAGGGTCAGCTCAAGCCAAAATGAGGGTACAAAATTTTCCCAAATGTCGACGGTAACTTTTGACCCTCAGAAACACCACCACTGATACCTCCGAGCAGTCAGTGCTTGTGGTTTGAGCACGGTCGGGCATCTGAGCTACTGGTCGCGAGTTCACGAACGTCTCCCACCCAGTAGCTGCAGAAACACACAACACGAGGAACACGTTCGCGAATCGTTCGACTAGCCTTCGAACGAGAACAATATTGCGCAGCAATCTCGGCTGGTTCTGCGGCTTCGTGCAGTCGAACCGGCCGAGCGGCTCCCTGCTTCACAGCTCGCCTTCCCATTGTCGGAGCTTAGCAGCGGCAGCTGGATTTTGCGCAAATTCTTATTACATGCTCTTATACTTTCAGCATGTGTTTCTCTTATGTGTTGCCTTTTACAGTGGAGTCTCACCGGTGATATGAAAAACACATTCTATTTAATGAGAAACGCCGCATGTGAGCAGTGAATAACGCGTAAAACACGTGATGTGAAATGATATGATGACGATGAGCAATTTATACACCCACGTATCGGCTGCTGAGAATCCCAAGGCATTCACTTTGGAGTTTAAGTGCGAGGGAAATAATTTTGTGGCGCGCGAAATTTTCTTTAAATCGAGTACGATGGGCGCGTGTCTCGCTGAGGTCGCCACTTAACTATATGTGCATTCTCATGTACTTGTTGTTGATGATGATGATGATGATGATGAAGTAGTTGACAATATTGATAGTGGAATTTTCATCCATTTCTTACCTAACCTGAGAGTGAATATTTACGTAAAAAATTCACACATTCGCGTGAAGTAGTTTTTTTTATCGAAAGTTTCGAGATTGGGAGGTGTCATTGAGTTCGGTACGGTATTGTTCATTCTGAAGATTTTCATTTTACACGATGCGGGTTATAGGAGTCTACATTGGGTCAATGCTGGTGTTCGGCGCGCTGAATACGCTGATAGGGAAAATACAATTTCAAACTTCATCTGTTGGAATCGACGGTGAAAAACATCTTTTCACAAAACCATGGTTTAACACTTTTTCTATGTTCATGGGAATGTCACTCAGCATTGTGGCGTACTTGATAAGCGTTTATATAAAACGTCGTAGAACTAACGAGAAAATCGATCAGGAAGAGCCTCTGCTGGAGCCCATAAGAAGGCCTGATACGAATCATAAAGTGAAACGATACCTTATGATTGGTCTGCCCGCCGCGTTGGATCTTACTGCTACGGTTATGTGCTTTGTGGGGCTTCTGTACAACCCTGCATCGGTCTGGCAAATGCTGAGAGGCGCGGAAATAATATTTTGTGCAATCCTGTCGGTATTTTTCCTGGGAAGGCGTCTTCAAGCTCATCACTGGGTTGCGGTTGGTCTGTGTTTTATCGCAATTCTTATCGTTGGTTTTGCCAATTTGATGAGTTCGCAAAACTCCACTCCTGCTGGAGGCGACCCTACGATGATGCTAATTGGTATGGTTATGATAGTCGCCGGACAGATCGTCCAAGCAGGCCAAGTTGTGTGTGAGGAGAGGCTCATGAAAGAGTGGACGGTGTCACCACTTCAATTGGTCGGTCTCGAGGGAATTTGGGGTTGTTTTTTCATGTGTATAATCGTCTTCCCAATCTTGCAAAGGATCCCGGGAGAAGATCGCGGAAGTATGGAAAACACTATTGACACTATGAAGATGCTCCAGAGCAACGTACAATTGATTATCAATTTGGTCATTTATTTTATATCGATATTAAGCTATAACATATCTGGTGTTATGGTAACGTATAAGTTGACTGCAGTGCATAGGACGATGATTGAAGCATCTCGAACCGCTGTGATATGGCTTGTGGATCTATTCATACACTACGTATTATTACCAGACTCGGTGTTTGGGGAGAAGTGGACATCTTGGTCGTGGTTGCAACTTGTTGGATTTATGTTATTGACCTACAGCCAGGCGGCGTATTCGGATGTTATTAAATTGCCGACATTCATTTTCTCGGAAAGATGATAATTTTTTTACGATGATCCATTAGTATTCTGGGAATATTACTGTTGTTGTGTTGGTAGTCTTCACTATGTAATTTAAAATGAATATTTTCGAGATTCATATTTAGTCGTATATTTTTTTATCACATTGGAAAAAGTGCATGTATATTATCATTGTAGTATACGCGAATTGACGATAACAGGAAGTGTCGAGAACATTTCAGTGTATGCCCACTAGCAACTCCAGGGTCGTAATTGATCCTGATTAGTGTTAGAATGTGAAATAGATGACCACTTTCCGACCACTATCGATATAAGCCGCCCTGTATTCTGAGATGACAAATGTTCCCATTGCGACGATCTTGGTAAGAATGGCTGAGGTCAAATACAGTACAATGGCTACCAAAACGCAATCATATGGCTCGCACATTAATTCCTACCACCCACACAGTACAGACTACAGGAAAAAATCGATATTACTATTGTATTTAAAGTTGACTTATGGAACTCTCGAGGTCCTCTTGACCGACTGACTAAGACAGTTGGATAGATAGATATAAGATAGTCGAGGGCCCAGCGCAGTTTGCTTCGCTTCACAGCGGATAAGACTCAGGAAGTAGTTGATACTCCTGTTATCAGAGTTTCCCTTGTACTGTTTGTTGTCGGGGCAGGGTTGTCGATTTCATGGAAATCGCAAGGCCATTTCTGAAATTGAAATTTCATACGGAAATTTCCATGAAATTTGTTTCAAAGGTGGAAAAAGAATTTCGCTCCGCCGGATACCGGCGGAGGTCTTGTTTCTCTGAAAATCTCTGCTTGATCTTGTCGAAAAACTCCTTCAAACAGAGTTCCCCAGTTTCTCTAAAAATATCACCCCTGATCTTTTTTACTTCTTCATATGTGAGCGACTTGTACCCCGGATGAAGCGAGCCTAGGAGCGCACTGGTGCTGTTAGAAGTAATGTCTCTGAGACTCCAGTTCATAGCCGTAGCCAGAGCAACAAGATTCTTATGAAATGATCCCCAGCTTGCACCTTAACCAAGAAGTCCGAAATCTTGGGAGCAAACTTGAGGGGAGGAATCCTGCCGGAGAATCGCTGTTGCTGCTTGCTGTTGAGGTCATCATAGAATACCTTCGGAGTTTTCGACACTTCTTGGTAGGGGGTGGTAGGCTACCACTGGTAGCAGGCCCAATTCTGCCTAGTGTTCACGGCGAACATGGTCCCTTCGACGAGTAGACTTGTCGAACCCCTGATCCCACCCACACCGGCAGATGAACGTATTTTGGATCTTATAATCAGCAACCCTCTCCTCTGTAACCGTGAAGAATCTTCAAAGGGTTCAGCTAGAGATAAAGACGTCTCTTTCATCGGAGACCACGTCGTCATTCGGCTGATCCAACTTGGGCATATATCAACAAATCTGTGTAGTAGACTCGGATCAATGTGAGTGGGCTCCATCCTGACTATAACAGAGACTTCTGGAGAGCTACTCGAAGCATTGAAGATAGCATACCATATTGACAACATGGACCATGTTGAACATGATGCCGTATACCAGCACACATGAAATCACCATGTTGTGAAACGGTTATGACATCTGGCGCGCGTCATTTCAATCGATCTCTCCGTGAATCGGTCCTGATCGCGTATGCGGTGGTCAATTCGTTATGTCTTGTATATCGTCTAACTGAATAATTGTTTTCGGAGCTTCCGGAGCAGTACTCCGGAAGCCAGTGGCTTCCGTAGGAGCAGTGCTCCAGGAGCACTAGGGATAAGTTCAATGTCTGTTAATCGTCTTTTTCCTAAAATTTCCTTTAAAATATGAAATTTCCACGGGTTGCATTTCATGTCTGAAATTTCGGAAATTTCCGCAAGCGGAAATTTCCGAAATTTCCACTTCCGACAACCCTGTGTCGGGGCGCTTGATATGCGAAACAGCATTGATGGCCTTCGTTGTATCAAGCACCTTCTCCTTGTCATAGTTGTGGGATAGATCACACCAATAAGCCACGTTGGTGATGTCGTTGTTACAAGAATGTTGTTGACCTTGCATGAGAGGGGCCTGGAGCACTCCTTGACGGTAGACCTGCTGCAGGTCACCTGCACAGTGGGAGCAGAAGATGTAACCTGCTGTGGATGTACTGTGTTTTCTGACCTTCGAGAGAGGCTTGCAGCTCGAGAGTTAGGGCCTTCGGCGTCTATATAGGTGAAGAAGGTACGTCGTAGATAGACCTTCTTACTAAGAGATTGCCCTTCCAATGGAAGGCTTCCATGGCAGTCTCTAACTCAGCGGCAGATAACCATAGTTGTAGTGAGGGTTCAGCAATACCGAGGACTTCAAGGAGCTCGGCCAGCGGGTTCTCCACCATGTAAGTAGTAACACCCCGCACTGGTTGACTCAATTACACTGGGATAGCCATAACAGGTGATAAGGCTCCTTATCCTATCCATTTCAGCCTGAGGACTGCGAGCCGTTTCTGAAACGGCGTTTCATGCAACGAGTAATGGGCGAGCGAGATTTGTGCGTACGCGCGCGAAGTTCGCGCCGCGAACACAGTTAGACAATTTGTGTGCTCACGCAGTTCGTGCAAATTAAATTTGCCAAATTTACATCCATTCGGTGGTCGTATGGGAGTACCCAAACGAAACCTCCAACTATTACTTTACACTGTGGAGTCCACGCTTTACTTTCATAACCAAGTGCAAAACTCATACGGGAAATGCGCTACAACCTCCCCTCCGGAGGAGCTACAGATTCCCCGGAGCGGAGCGGCGCGAGCTGCTAGTACTCCCTGTGGGCCTCCAGCGAGGACGGGGCAATTGCGGCTATGCAGCTCTATAATCCCTATATGCCTCATGAAGTCATATCCCGGTAGAAAATGTGAAGACTTGGGGAACTCGGAAACGGAGATTGGTGGAGGAGCTCTTAGACAAGAAGAGCGAAAGCTTAGCGGAAGACTTCTTCCAATGTGAAAAGCATTCTCGTGTCTCGCCTTATTCAACCAGACAGTCTCTGCTAGGCGTGCGCTACTGTGCACGTCATGTCGCGGGATTACATACAACGCTCGATTGATGCAAATAAGAATAAGATGAATAACAACAACAAAAGGATAAGATTATTCAGCACTTTGTTATGCTGTGAGCCTCACTAGAGAGGTTAGGACGATTTCCTTATTCTTCTAGTGATTGGGTACGACTATGTCTCCATCTTACGTTAGTTGGTATTGTCCCTGTACTCTCGTCTATTGTCCATCGTATAGTCAATCTTCTTCACCAGAGTGTTGGGGGATACCCCGCTTGCGCATGCGTGCTCATCTGCACAGGCGTGCTAGGACCGTGTGTAGGCGTGCTACGGGGAATCTCGGTATAACTCATTAAATCCTTTTTCCAATATGTCCGATCATGAGTCGAGCATGCAGACTGCATGATGCAGTCAGAGGAGGCACCCGGGAGCGAGTCCCAATCACTAGCAGCAGGCCTATCTTGATCGTATTGATTTGATTGTCAATAGGATACGCACCGTCGTGGTATGCCGGCACATTCGTCTCACTGGCCTCAAGCTCCTCTAGGAGCACAAGGGTGACGAGGCTTGACTCGCACGCACGCACATTCACGCAGCGGACTATCTTGGAATTTCCCTCGACACACTGAGTGTATCAAGCACTAAACTCCCAGGCTTCCATCCGCGACCTAGCGTAACAACGGGGAAAAGAGCTCGAGTCGCGAATCGATCTGCCAGAGAGGAAATGTTCCTACCAGGCAAGCCCCAAAAGGGTTACGAGTTAGCTGCGTTTTTTAGTCATTCAAGGTCAGCACGAAATACGGCTCACATGAGCGCCGCGCAATACATGCGTGATGAGAATGAAAACATCAGAGGCTGAGAGTAACAGCGACTAGAGTCACTTGTAATTATCAGATGCGTAGCAGCTGCTGCTACACTGGGTGATTAGCTATCACCAAGTAAAATCGCTGATAACGGTACATGTTTAGACGTGACGTGATTGTTACGCAGCGTGATTCACGTTTGTGTTGTTATGCGTCTCGTTGTTAAGGCTCGCTCACATTGTTTTAGCTGTAGCTTACCGATTACGCTATCTGGTGCGAGGAACAACCATAGTTCACATGTAACTTTCTGAAACTGCTAGCTATTGCGTTACAACGAAGATATTACCGTTTGCAGCATGTCAGTTTGGGTTACTGCTCACCAGTGCCACTGGTCCAGTGGTGATTGGCTTAATACTCAAGAGGACGCTTCACAGGCCTTTGATGAGGAGTCTTATCTTCACTCAATCTTGAAGGTTCGCGATACGAAATGCTCTCAGTCTTTTGAGTCTTACCTCCACTCGAATGCTGTCTGCTGCCACCGCGTTAGTCACTATGGCAGTGTTAGCTGGTTATGGTGTCGTCACCGGTGTTGATACCTCTCTCAAGCCTGGGAAATACTGCGCCTACCAAGATGTGCTTAGTCCTAAACCTGGAGTGATGTTCAAGGGATGCATGTTCTTCCAATACGATTCTCCTGGGAAGGCTATCGTGGGTTACAACTATTTCGGAAATCACTATTATGCTTTTTGGTACGAAAGTGCGGTTATCAAGGACAACACTTTCATCCTGAAACGTTTAGGACATAGTGAGGGTCCTGAGATATATCCTTACTACGAAGTGGGCTTCGATCTCAAGGTGCCACCGGGGTCGGCCGGAGTTGTCCAGATGGTCTCTAAGAAGGGTGAGTATGTTCACAATCTAACAATGGAGGCCTGCGCGGAGCGGCCAAAACACGCTTCCACCTGTACCGCCATCCCCGATGCCTCAGAACTGTCGGCTACTACCGACGGTTCCCTCGCGGCGGATGAGGAGCTGGTTACAGATATATATGGCGCCTGCTCCCCCGATTTCGTCTGCACTTACTTCGAAGCAACCGGTCCAGTCGCGCTCACTAAGTTCGTAGATTTTCGGAGTCAGTCATATACGCGTTCCGCAGTATATAACTCAGGCCTTGGCCGCATAACGTTAATTCAGGGAAGTCACGGCGAGCGTATACTGCTCGACAATCCCTACGTCAACAAGACGAGGCAGTTCGTTAACGTCCCTGCACAGTGGGTCTACTTCAGGGGCAACAACTCGGTGGAATTCGTCCCTAACAATAAATCTAAGCCCAGCGTGGTTCTGACATTCAGGGCCTGAATTTAGGGCGGAGGCTATCGAAGACTCGATGATTATGTATGTGGAGTGTATCTACTCTGCTTTCTCGTCTGGGTTCTCATTCTATCATATAGCCAGCAGAACGTATGTGGGCAATGACGGCTGCTCACCCAGGGCATCTGTTTTATCTTTTATACTTTTTTTATACTCATCATCATTATCAGATTTTTTCGAGAAACAATGAAGACGACATTACTACAAGACATGATTTTTCATATAGACAGACATTATTTGTGACGCCGCGTCCAGTATTTTTATTGAGATCTCAATCTTCGGTAAATCTCGTCGCTATAAATAAGATACAAGTATGGTTGCTCCGACCTTAGGTCGAGCATTAGTTATGACGCAAAGGTTGGAGACATGTATCATCATTCATATCATCATTTGAGTTGAAGTACTTTAGTGGTTGGCCATGGGGACATCATCATAGGATGTGGAGGTAAGCTCACGTCACCAACTCCAAGAAGAGATGCAGTTGAAAGTGCAAGTGTAGACTCCGACGTGGTTGTTCACTATTGCTCCCTCTCTGCGAGAATGACTTCACTCTTGCGCTAACAACCTGCAGTAGTCGTGAAATATGTTTTTCACCAGTGTTTTTCATATCACTAGGGACCCTAGTCTAGGGTGGTGAAACCTCATTGTATGGGCTATGATTTGCTATAAGCAACACGCTGTGTTGAACTCAGCGACTGAAATTAGTGTCGCTATGGCCGATACAACAATTGAGAATGCTGTTCCTGTGAAAACAAAGCGATTTCAACAACTGCTGCTATGACCAATACAACACCTGGGAATATTGCCCACGAACGACATATTGAACTCATGCTGAGATCAGTTCACTGGACCGAGCTTGTAGTGATTGCCTGGCAAGCGCGGCGCTCAAAGCGCCTCGTGAAAAGCCGGAAAAGTGGGAAAACGCAAGAGAGTCCATATTTTGTTCTCGGCCATGCGGCCGAGAGGGTTCATCGAAGTGCGTATGACCCTTTTCCGGATTCCTTGTTCATACTCATGTTTCCCTGGAGCAAACGCCGGTCTTGTATTATAATTCCCTAAATGAGATCCATTATTCCCGTTTTAGACCAGCCATTATTCCCGGGAACTGAAACGGGAATTATTGGGGAAGGGAAGAATGATTCTTCCTCAGCCTTCAGCCACCTGGTTTTCTGGCGCGCAAAATTTTCCTTTCCTAGGCATAAACCGAGTACGATGGCGCCTGTCTTACTGAGGTCGCCACTAAACTATAATTGCAATCTCATGTACTTGTTGTTGTTGATGATGATGGAGTAGTTGCTAATTTCCTCGTTTTCTTGGTTAGCCTTAGAATAAACATTTACGTAAAAAATCCACGCACGTGTATGAAGTTTCGAGATTCGGAGGTGTCTGAGTTCGGTATGGTATTGTTCATTTTGAAGATTTTCATTCATTTTACACGATGGGAGTTATAGGAGTCTACATTGGGTCAATGCTGATGTTCGGCGCGCTGAATACGCTGATAGGGAAAATACAATTTCAAACTTCATCTGTTGGCATCGACGGTGAAAAACATCTTTTCGCAAAACCATGGTTTAACACTTTTTCAATGTTCATGGGAATGTCACTCAGCATTGTGGCGTACTTGATAAGCGTTTATATAAAACGTCGGAGAACTAACGAGAAAATCGATCAGGAGGAACCTCTGCTGGAGCCCATAAGAAGGCCTGATACAAATCATAAAGTGAAACGATACCTTATGATTGGTCTGCCCGCCGCGTTGGATCTAACTGCTACGGTTATGTGCTTTGTGGGGCTTCTGTACAACCCTGCATCGGTCTGGCAAATGCTGAGAGGCGCGGAAATAATATTTTGTGCAATCCTGTCGGTATTTTTCCTGGGAAGACGTTTACAAGCTCACCATTGGGTTGCGGTTGGTCTGTGTTTTATCGCAATTCTTATCGTTGGTTTTGCCAATTTGATGAGTTCGCAAAACTCCACCCCTGCTGGAGGCGACCCTACGATGATGCTAATTGGTATGGTTATGATAGTCGCCGGACAGATCGTGCAAGCAGGCCAGGTTGTCTGTGAGGAAAGGCTCATGAAAGAGTGGACGGTGTCACCACTGCAATTGGTCGGACTCGAGGGAATTTGGGGTTGTTTTTTCATGTGTATAATCGTCTTCCCAATCTTGCAAAGGATCCCAGGAGAAGATCGCGGAAGTATGGAAAACACGATTGACACTTTGAAGATGCTCCAAAACAACGTACAATTGATTATTAATTTATTCATTTATTTTATATCGATATTAAGTTATAACATATCTGGTGTTATGGTAACGTATAAGTTGACTGCAGTGCATAGGACGATGATTGAAGCATCTCGAACCGCTGTGATATGGCTTGTGGATCTATTCATACACTACATATTATTGCCAGACTCGGTGTTTGGAGAGAAGTGGACAGCATGGTCGTGGTTGCAACTTGTTGGATTCGTGTTATTGACCTACAGCCAGGCGGCGTATTCGGATGTTATTAAATTGCCGACGTTCATTTTCTCGGAAAGATGATAATTTTTTTACGATTGTCCATTAGTATTCTGGGAATATTACCGTTGTTGTGTTGGTAGTCTTCATTATGTAATTTAAAATTAGTATTTTCGAGGTTCATATTTAGTCGTATATTTTATTTAACATATCGGAAAGAATGCATGTATATTATCATTGTAGTATACGCGAATTGAAAATGTCGAGAGCATTTCAGTGTATGCCCACCAGCAACTCGATGGTCGCACTTGATCACGAATTAGAATGTGAAATAGCTGACTATTTTCCAACTACTATCGATATAAACCGCACTCTGAGATGACAATGTTCCCATTGCGACGATCTTGGTAAAAATGGCAGAGGTCAAATACAGTGAAGCGGCTACCAATACGCAATGAAATGGCTCGCACATCAATTCCTACCACACACACAGTACAGACTACAGGGCAAAATCGATATTACTATTGTATTCAAAGTTGAATTAGGGAACTCTCGAGGTGTACATTTCGTGAGTGAGTGGACGCCTAGGAATTGTTCATCATCTATAGCTTGTTTGTGATTCGCCCAGGAATTCGATAACACTCCTATTGGCGTCCGTTTTGCTTGTGTAAATTTGATTTCCTGGCTAATACGAGCGTGATGAATAAATCCATATAACACTACCTATTTGAAGAAGGCACGCACAACAAACTGAACATAATCGTAGGAGCATGCCATAGGATCGCGAGCTTAGGGAATTCACCAAAGTTAGGTAAGGATAACAATACACCAGAACCTCCCAGTACTTTCGAGCCTTCGCTAGACTGTAACTACTCTTAACACAATCACACCAGCGGTTATCGAGTAACAACATTCAGGCATGTCCTTTCAAACCGTCCTTTTCAACGGTAGTAGTCGGGAGCAGCCGAGTGCGCTGATACAAAATAATACCCTACTAAATAGTAACAGAAATTCACCACCTCAGATGAAGGTCTCCTCCCACCCGGAATAGGACGTGTTGGTCCTTTATCTCGAATGAAGACCGCATGGCAGTAGCAGCCGCATACTGCTACCATTATGATGAGTATTATTCCCAATGTTATGAGAAAATATGTATACCTGAATTGAATATAATTTTCAAAATTGTTTGCAATAATTCTTACCATGCGAATTGATCGCATTGGACACCAGTGTAATAACTTCCACAAAAGCACTGGAAATCTTTAGTGCAAACTCCATGCGCACTGCATTGATCAGCAGTGGGTAGAGTCGGATTGCAAGGCAAAGAATTCAATACGTTAGTCGGAGCCTGTGTCATTATTTTTGCCAACTTTACGGGAAATAAGTATTAACAACCTCAATAAACGTTCGGAACTTTTCACCCAACTATAATCGTTGCTATTTCATCAACCTGGGGTGTAGAATTCGGCAGATGTCTATAACACTACATAAAAAATAAAGGAAAGAAGTAAAAAAAATGTAAAAAAAGAAAACCCGTTGTTAAGACTTTATGTGCCGATAGTAACTTCAGTCGTGACCTCATCAAGAGTTGATGTGAAATATTCAAATGATATATAAACATAAAATGGCAAAGACTATTCTCATAGACAGCAATCCTAAGTTTGGTATTTGGCAACACTTTCAGAGCGGAAATAAATACTTAGAAAGTAATTTAAATTCGTACCATAACTCGGGTAGATAATAATCAATAAGTGGTTTATAGTACGACCCAAGTTCCAAATATATCGACACATTGTCAAGAAAATCGAAGTAGGAAAATTGGGAAAAATAATATTGTCACCAACACATGTAAGTAGCCATTTACCAGACTATAGTAAAACACAGCTTCCTATCGAAAACTCCACGAACGAGTTCCATTGAAATTACTACCATCCGACTAAAGAGACGGTAGTAATATTCGCACATAATGTTTATTCGGAATATTCGCGAATGTTCACATATTCGCGGAGTTCGAATATATGTTCGCTTCTTTCAGCTGAGCTCAGGAGTTTTCTCAATAAATTTATACAATTTTTGGTACAGAAACCAACGATAATTTACCAAAATTTTCGGATTTCCACCAACACATGTAGTTGATCATGTGCATACTCTGAGATCATAATTACAAGCCTCGATAAGATTTCTCGTGAAACACTCATGTTATACATGGTTAAAAAATAGAGTTGGAAATGATCAAATTCTGACACGACGGTCAGTGTGGGGGGAAATATGCTCAACTACATGTGTTGGTGACACTATGGAAATTTCGGGGAAATTTCAGGAAATTATTTTTTTCCAGAAAACCCTGAGCTCAGCTGAGGAAAGCAAATATATATTATCGCAATGATATGTACATCGTCAACTACATGTGTTGGTGACAATATGGAAATTCTGAGGAAATTTTTGGTGGTACATTTTTACCATAATTTGTGCGTAAACTCCGGAGCTCAGCTGGGGGAGGCGAACATATATGCCAACTCCAACGATGAATGAAATTTAATATTCGAATTTCCCGAAAATTATTTATTTTCTCACTGCTCGAATGCGATTCAATTGAAGTGCATGGATCTTCGTTAAACTCACCGCACTCGGAAGATTTTTAAGATTTTCTGAGGTTCTACGTCGAGTTGAAAAAAAAGGAAAATTCCCGGAAAAACTGGTAAATAAATAGAAAATTACCACCCCGTACAGGGAGGGGCTTTCGTGGGATGATCGCTCAAAGTGGTGACTCGAATGGCGGAGCGAAGCGATTCATGTTTGTCGATTTCAAAGGCGGAGCGAAGCGATTCATTTTTGCCATATTTGTCGAGCGGGTTCCAAATAAGAACATCGACTTTGTATTACACCACCACGAACGTGCACGGATGACAGTGGCATGCTCGGCAATATGATTTGAATTGAAATTTAACTGGTAAATTCATGAGGAGAATCGTAGAGGATTTCCCCATTCCATCAGGACAGTCGTGAAATGAGTGAATTCAGCGTTTTCTGTTTTCTATGCGGCCTTATATGCCAAAGTTGGCCCGGGGGCTTTGCTAGGGTATCACAAAAATCGTAATTGGTTTTCAGAAGGACAGTCGCGAAATGAGTGAATTCAGCGTTTTCTGTTTTCTATGCGGCCTTATATGCCGAAGTTGGCCCGGGGGCTTTGCTAGGGTATTACATAAATCGTAATTGGTTTTCTCAAGGACAGTCGCGTAATGAGTGAATTCAGCGTTTTCTCTTTCGAAGAGCTAGGGGGATAAGGTGATTCGTGGTTGACTTCTGCTATTGAGTTCATTCGGTACTGATTATGTCGTACGAGGAGTTACTTCCTAAACTCGACGCCTTTGTGAAAGCCAATAAAGTGGTCCTCTTTATGAAGGGCGATCCGGAAGCCCCAAAATGTGGGTTCAGCAAGAAGGTCGTGGAGACGTTGCAAAAGGAGGGTAAGGGGAGCTCCTCGAGGTGAGGGGAAATGGAGATCTCAGGCGTGAAGTCGTTCGCCCATATGAATATCTTGGCTAATGATGTGCTGAGAGAGGGCGTGAAGAAATATTCAGGTAGTATCTTCTGAAACGGTTAGATACCAGGTCGGCCTGGCAAGATTCAAAGTAGGCCCGATTAAGGCCCATATGGTATCTTTTCAGATTGGCCAACATACCCTCAACTCTATGTTGATGGAGAGTTTGTCGGTGGCTGCGACATCGTCCTTCAAATGGCCGAGGACGGTAAGGGGTATCGTCACAGTGTGTTAGTCTATGATGAATCGTCTCAGGTGAACTCCACGATCTCCTCCTCGAGAAGGGTGCCATCACTGCTTAATACGATTGCCATTCCTTTCCTATTCACATTGTTGTTTTGTTGATCAATTTTTTACTATCATTCAGAGCTCTCGCAGCGTGTCATCAGTTTACTAAGTTTGGGGCCTCGGGGGCTCTCGACGCCTGTGTTTTGGCGTTACAGTGTGGGAATATATGCACATGGTCAACTACATGTGTTGCGAGGAATATGGAAAACATGAGGAAATTGGGGAAATTACCGTTCGTTTTTGTACACTTCTACCCAAAATGGCGTGCGGATTTTCATAGTAAAGTGAGGAAACTCACGAGCACAGTTGCGGAGGCTGAGGCGTCATCCATAATAGCGAAGGACTTCATATGACAGATTATTCACGGTGGATAATTTCTAGGTCTTTTTCAAGGTTACTTTGTAGGAGTCATCGATGAGTTTCCTCTAGGCCTTATTTTAGTAATGGCCTCCCTCCTGGCCTGCCGTCAGTTCCTCCTCGAACGACATTGTGGTGATTTATCGCCCTCTGAATCGACCGAGACGATGCCGACTCTTTTGATGAAGGCCTTCCAAGTTGGTGACGATGTGAAGCTACTCGGTCCAAGGAGCCCGTTGCGGCCTCAGGCAAGTCCTATTAGAGTGTTGAAATGTATGTTCACGTTTGCATACGAATTAGTGTAGAAGTGTACAAAAACCAATGAGAATTTCCCTAAGATTTCCATATACATGTGCATACAGATCAGTAATGACTATCTCGGCTTGGGGTCTCAACTGTGTCGTTGGGTCCCGCCGTCGTCGGACTTTAGGTGTGTCCGACTGCTTGGTGACAGTGTTGGAATAGGTATTTGCTTTCCTCAGCCGAGTCAACGAGTTTCCTCGATAGTTATAAGAGTTTATGTGCAAATTAGGGTAGAAGTGTACGAAAACCAATGAGAGTTTCCATAAGATTTTCTGTATTATCACCATTACGTTTCCAAACTGCTCAGTTGTCCTCCTGTTTAGGTCTCGACCATGTCACTTATCATGTCGGAGAGATCCTCTTCCCACTCACTACGACGACAGAGCTCTTCGGTGCTGCCATTGAGTTCATCAATTGACTCGAGCACTTCGACCGTGGAATCTTCTCGTCCAAGAAGGAAGCGTAACCTCAGGTTTGGGTACAGTCCGAAGCCTGCCGAGTCGCCAGCTCCTAATGCTTACTATCCCGAGACTGGGTGCTATCGCGGTCCACGATGGAGCATGCAAAATCGCAACCCGCGTGGAAGTGCGTTTGATACCACTCGTTTCAATGTGAGAGTAGCCCCTGGCAGTTATAATCTTCCTAGTGCGTTGAATATCTCACCAAAACGACCGCAAGGATGCCCGAGCGGTGGTAAGCGATTCCCACGAGATTTGAGTCGATCGCCAGGGCCGTGCGCATACACCCCAAAGGCTACCGATCGGACTGTTCATGGTGTCTGGGGTAGGGAGGAAAGGGGTGGGGTGACTTCACCTGAGGAGTCACCGAGTCCGGTCACGTATAGGAATGTCCTACCGCCCATCACGAGGAAGGTGGCCGTCATTGGCCGAGATGGTTTGATGAAGAGGAGAAAGGAAACTACGGAGCCGTCGTTACTCGGTCCTGGCAGTACACTGAATATGAAGGCTGGTCGGTCGTTCGGACATGCCCCGAGGGGAGTTGCTGGACTAGTGAAGAGCGATCTTGGCCCGGGGGCGTACGGCTCGTTTTTACGGCATTATTCAATGGGGAGATTGAAGAACTCCACGACGTGTCAGGGTAGAAACCCGCCAGGCTGTAAGTGGATGGGAAGCTGTCTGGACAGTGATGGTGATACATGATAGCAATTGGTGTCATTACTGGAGGAGTTTTGAGTTGTTATTCGTGGTATTCGCTTTGCATGGTACTCTAGCTTTGAGAGGTTCTCCAGGGTTGGATAACAATGGGAAAGACGTTCCTAATGTGACGACGACATTTACATCAGAAACTGACTGAAGAATGTGTTCTTAGCCATACATGGAAAATTCAAAGTGAGTCTCCCCCCGGGAATCTTGATGTTTCCTGATCCACTAGAATGATAATAACAGACCGCTGATGGGCGTAGCCGATTCGAAAAGTATTTACAGTAGGTGCAATCTGAGATGGTGTCACCGTTTGGTGTCACCTTTCATCATTTTGTATTTGGCTCTTCTACCTGAATAAATCTCGGGAAAAAATTTATACCGGTCACGCGTACTGTATGCTCTGACGATAAGGGAGGGAAATTGGTATTAGAATTTCTCGACTTTGATGTAGTAGATGGAGAATTGTTTTGGAGGTATGCGGAATCTAATACTGATATGAACTGTGCCTGAGGAGTTCATTCATTTTCCGATCGAATGATGAGTAATTTTAGTAAATGTGAAAGGGCAGTAGACTTATATAAATTTTCTAAACCTGTTTAGTATTGTTTATATGTGAAGTTGTGTACTATCTGGACGCATTGGAGTTTCACCCGGTTTACGTGAAGTGGGGTAATACTCTGTGAAAACCCCGATATTCGCGCTGATATGCAGTAGTCGTGAAATATGTTTTTCACTGGTGTTTTCCATATCACTAGGGTGAAACTCCAATATACAGTGCGAAGCGAACCGTAATGCGAATCACCTTTTCCAATATATCTTGTTGATCAAGGAGAGTTTATTAGTGAGAGTTTCACCCGTGATATGGAAAAAAATAGTGTATAACATATTTTACGACTACTACAGGCCGCGAATATCGCGTTTTTCACCGAGTTTTACGCCACTTCACGTAAAACGGGTGGTGAAACTCATTGATAATAGTAATAAAAATCGATTGACAACGCTTCGTCATCCACTGTCGAAAAGTATGTATAGGGATATGTTGACGTTGTCAAGCGACTGTGATACAATTTTTCAGTGGTGTTTTCAAACATGCATTTTCTCGTCGCTCTCCTGTTTCCCATCCTCGCAGCCTCAAAGCCACTCGATAATAAATTTTTCCGCAAAATTTCGGGTAGGAAGTTCAAGGTGAAACTCAAGAAGAAAGAAAGGGTCGCTTCTGCTTCGGTGAGGTTCGAGAGGGACGATGCTACCGGATTGGTGATAGCGAGCTTCAAAATAGAGACGGGGAAGAGAGTTGAAGCGCCGAAGGTGAAGTACGAAAGCCCATGGTTACACGCGGTGAAGCGAGAGGACGAATCGGGAGAATTTTTGGAGTTTCATCCGGTTAAAAAGGATAGCAGAAAATTTGAAGACTTCGTCAATCACGTTGCTGGGGATATCTACCTTGAAAGGCATTTTAAGGCTATGTTGAGTGATGATGGAAATGGAAAGCCGAGAGCTGAAATTTTAATAGGAAAAGTCGGTGGTAAACATATATTCATCCCCATACCGCTCTGAGTGACATGCCTTGATGTAATGATGTTTTTGGATGTTATTGTTATTTTATTCATCGTCGTGTTCGAACTATATGTTCGCTTTCCTGAGCTCAGGAATTTCCCCATTGCATAAATTCCATAGGAATTCGGATAGAAATGTACAGAAACAACAATAATTTCCCGAAATTTCCCCAGAATTTTGTGTTTTCCCCATATTTTCCTCCACTAGTGCTTTCTTCCTATGTCTGTAACCCAGCTGGCAGTAGATCGTTGGTGGTCAACTCACAGACCAGAAATACCGGACCATCTCAAGGAGCATCTGCACAACTACTACATCACTAGGGTGGGAACAAGGACGGAAACCGAAACGCCCTTTCTGAAATTTGAAATTGACATTGAAATTTCAGTGAAATTAATTTCATTGTCGGAAAAAAAACTGCTCCGCTCCGTCGCGCTACGACGGAAATTCAATTCCTCACGTTGATTTTTGTGTTGGAATTTTCTGAATTTCCAGTTTTGACAACCCTGGTTTTAGTCTTCAGCTGGGAAGACAGTCGAGGAGTCGGCTTGGGAGTGGTTAGAAACGATAAATCGAGTTCACTTTGATCGCGGTGACACGGCACCAAGCAACGGGGAGATAGGATATGATGTGCCTAGGAGGATCGATCGGGAATGGATTGAAGTAGAGCGAAAATGAAGTTGTTGGACTGGAGTATGCGGACAGGAGCTTCCTATTGAGAGAGGTATAAATGTGGACTCGCGTCGGTCTAGTATTGCGAAAGATCCGGGACGAGTGTTTGATGACATTTTGGGGACTTCCAAGGATTTGAAAATAACACCGAGTGAGTGCGGGTCATTTTTCTCTATTTTATTCGAAGCGAATTTTTGAAATTTCAACTCAGCGAAATGCCGGGTTTTGAGTTCCTTCTGGTGAGATCAACCCGGTTTGCATTTACGGCGAGCTTCAGCGTGATGATTCTAGAGGAGTTTCACCTGTTTTATGTGAAGTGGGGTAATACTCTGTGAAAAACTCGAAATTCGCGGTGATATGCAGTAGTCGTGAAATATATTTTCCACTCGTATTCCTCATATCACTAGGTTGAAACTCCAGTGTATTCGGAGAATGGGAAATTTTGAATTCCAACTCACCCGAATGCCGAGCTTTGTATCATCCCTGGTTTGCATATACAGAGTTGTCCAACTTCGACATGGTGGATCTGAAAGACGATGTAAAATTATAATGGTCATAATTTAGATGGTAATATACGAGCCGATGCTTCGGGTAGTGTGCGGTTGTTGTCGCGATTGTGTGAAACGATGGGGATCAACTTGAGGACGACTAAGTTTGGGAAGGTGCGGTATGACTTCGAGACGTGGCCTAATCAGTTTGGAAATTTTTGCTCACGGTTGACTACTTGTGTTGGTAGCAGTATGAAAATTGCGAAAAAAATTTCGGAAATTTTCGTTGATTTTTGTACATTTTTACCCCAAAATCATGTGTGAATCTTCGTAATGTTGTGAGAAAACTTACGAGCTCAGCTGAGGAATTCCAAAGTATATTCCTACGCTGATATGCACATGGTCAGCTACATGTATTGGTGACAATATGGAGACTCTGAGGAAATTTTCACCTGTACATTTCTACCGTAATTCTACCGAGAAAACTTACGAGCTCATTTGAGGAAAGCAATAATATGTTCCCATACTGGGCGTACTCGTGTCATGGTAGAACTGGCTGAAGCATGGGGTGGTTTTCTGTCACTATCAAATGGGGATGGGAGAAATCCCGAAGGAGTCGTTGAAGGGCAGGTAGGGATAGGCAGGATTAGCGCGGGGAGTGGTATTGTTACAACGAGCTCGACAATCGAATGATTTCGCAGGGGTAGCATCTGGGGAGGATGAAGTGTCCATATTTCCTGTGGTTTATGGTATACCATCCAAATTCGGATCATCGTGTTGGTTTTCTTCCGACCAATTTGTGGTATACCTGCGGCATGTAATTCAGATGGACTATTTGGTACGACAGTGTGAAGAGTGTGAATATGGACACTGACCCGCCTCCTCCTCCTCCTGGGCCTTGACGATCTTGCTATAATCATAAGGGTCTGTTATATGCTCGGTAAAGCTTAGTGTTGGTTCTGGTACTATTGCTGGGGGTTTGAAAGACCTGTCAAATGTCCATAGCAGCTACGAGTAGGTTGAAACTATGCATACTTTTGGAGCTAAAGTTGTGACTCGAACGGGTTGAGGTGATTGTTATGGACTTGAGTCGATCCAGCTACCCTTAGAGAGGCACCGTTGGTGGAGGAGGGATGATGATCTTCGTGTGGTCGTTGTAGTCGTAGCGTGTAGGGTTAGAGTGGTTTGTAATATAGAACATCTTGAAAAGCCGAACCGTTATGCAGAGCAGTGCGTTTGAGTTCATCTTCCTAGAGACGCTTTTGAATAGCACTATGTTGATTTTGATGAAGTTAACTTTAAAGACATCATTTGGAACGACATGGTAGTTGCTTCCTTCTTTTAGCTTGTTGTTGGAAATGACAACTCTATTGCGAGATAGCAAGAGTGAATCTTGCCCGGAGTTTTGGTTGCGCCAACAGGCGTCATGGCGATTGCTGAGAGAGAGTGTAGAGGACAGTGAGTACCGTCGACGGCAGGCAGCGTGGGGGAAGACTTTGAGATGCCTGGCTGAAGAGTTCGAGGGGAAATCTGTGAGGTTACTTAGGTGGACTTTGGTTGGATGCAAATTATAAAAGGTTCATCGCATTTCCTCGCTGAAAAAACTGCCGACTATTCGAGTTCCGCATACCCCAAGTAGTTCACGGCGAATGGCTGAGGAGGATGAGAGTCAACCTTTAGAGTTTCGAAAAGTCGACAAGAAGGAAAGAAGAGTGTAAGGTTGATTTCTCGATGGATTCACTCAGCTGATTTCAGAGCGATAACACCAACGCCAGGAAGCGGCGACTTGCGCCAAGGACCGTTGCAGAGCATTTCCACTATATTGGCTGAGGCACCAGCTGATGGAGGTGCCCTTGAGGTGAGGGTGGAGTCGAACGGGGGACTAATATAGAGAGAGTCTGTGAAGGTGTAGTAAACCTATATAATATTTCATGCACGTCTGACATAAGTCACTTGCGTGAGACGTCCACTCATCTTAACCCGTCAAACGAATAATCGGACCCCCGGAGAGGAACGGGCGGAACGATGGTATGTAGTATCAGCTCCACTACAGTGCGAAGGTGACGAAGTTTTCCATAATGTTTAATAAAGTTTTCCACCAGCTAAGCTACATAAGGTCAGTGGCTGTTATAGAAGATCTGTGTAGTAGAACAGAGCGCTCAGGGGAGGGTTGCTGATGATGGGCATGCGCATCCGGAAGATTTGTCGTCAATGTGGTCCCTCTCGGTGTGAATGTATTGTTCGGAAGGTCTTGGCGAAACTCCAACTGAAGGCTTCGGCCAAGATACGTCGGGAGGTGTGCTTGGCTAGCCGCCGGAAAAAGGGTCAGCAGAAAGCGGAAAAGTTGATTCGGAGGAAAGTTCGAGAGGAAAGCCAGGGTAACATCGTGGGGACACATGCGGTGACACAGTGATCATCAGGTTTGGACTTTATTTTTTCTCGGAATCGAGAGAGGGTCCTTTCGGTTGCCCATCCGTTTCAAAGGCGAGGAGAGGCACATGAAGACGTTAGAAATGAGTAAGGAAGAGTACGTCATCGAAAATCATTTCTTGAAAAATAGGAAAATGACAACGACTGCTCCTACACCGTGGTCACCTTCTGAGGCGGTATCAGCAGAGAAGCAGCAAAAGGAAAAGTTCATAGTGAAAATTTGTAAGAGTGATAGCTGGCAAAGGGAGGTTCTTTGGAGGAGGTAATGAGATTTTTTCGCATCGCTCCGCTAGAAATTTTCAGATTATTCGACTATATCGATCAGAAAGCTTCTGAAGTCTGCAAGGAAGATAGCAGTGATGGAACTCATCTGAACTACACCGTGCATAAGTCTCAAACTCGACCTCTTCGAGCGGGCGTGCGTAGCCGTCGCAAGAAGAGTCTATCAGAAACGAACCTTTGTCCTTCGAACCAGCGGATCGATGATGATGATGATCAGTGGCGAGCAGTGGAGGAGATCTACTACGGCGGAACGGGAGGGGAAGTTGCTGAGCGTTTAGATGTTATTCGCGAGTGTCAACTTGGGCTCGACGATGGAAAGAGAAGACTGTCTGATCGTCTTGGAGTCTACCCGATGATGCCGGTCGCGGCGGATCGTCAGAAGGCTGCGATGAGGATGTTGCGGAGTGCGTCTGTTGGATATGTTCATGCGACTTAATCGCTCTGGTGTCGGTGTTTTCGATGCTTTGCGTTGGACATTCGGGAATAGCTACTTCCCAGAGAGTACGGCTATTAGACTAATTTCAGAGGAAGCAGTCGCCTGCGCGCAGTGATAGTTTTTGGAAGTGAATCTTGAGTAAGTTTCGGTAGTTCGTGCCGATAACAGTCTTGACTCAAGACTGTTAGCATGCACAGGAATACCACTCTCAAGAGTCTTGAGAGTGGTATTCCTGTGAATGCCTGCATGCATTCATAATAAAAGTGAGCAACCTCATGTTGAGACGACCCCTGCGATGGAAGTGTTGCTGTGCGGTCAGTGCTGAAGGCTGACTCGGCGTTAATATGTTGTCGATAGGCTCTTGACGATGCGAAGGAGCTGCGAGGCGCTCTCAACGAGCGCACGACTGAGGTTGCCATTGCTTGCTAGAGAAGATGGTTTTGTGTTGGGATAGAGTTGAGCGGAGCGAAGTTTTTTTTTCTCGTTATGATCCGACAAGCATCGTCGTTCGCACATAACGAGAAGTTTCCTGAGATGGACGAGGTAGTGAGCGGTATCAAAGAGTTCGCATGGAGGAGCTATCGCAGTTGGGATTAAATCCTCCTGTCGATCCGCCGCCAGCAAGCCCCGAGATTGATGCATTGTTTGAATTGTATAGGGCAGTTGCTCGAGGAGATGATGACATTGTTCGGTAAGCTGAAGGGGCATGGTTCGAACCCCGCACCCATTGGTTTTTCGTAGGTCCATGGTGTCAGAGGGACGGCCTTTGAGTAAATTGAATTCCCTCAAAGCCTCACCGGTCCTCCTCTCGGTGTGGAATAACGATCCTCGGATGTTATCGATGCTTTTGGAGTCCGGCGCTGACGGCAGTAGCATCGATAGAAAAGGTGGATTCGCTCCGCTGCATCATGCTGCTATGTGCGAGGGAGCGGCGGAGTGCATAAAGGTGAATTCGTACTCACTCGCGGAAGACGATTCTCACCTGGCAGTTGTTGGTACGTCATGGTGCTAGTCTGTTGTGCCGGACAACGAGAGGGGGGTATACGCCGTTGTTCCTGGCTTGTGTGTTGGGGATCACAGATAATGTTGCGACATTGCTGGCTCTGGCATTGAAAAGTGAGATAGTGCCACTAGCTAACCTACTCCGTATCTTGCATGGTCAACATCAAGATTCTCAGGAGTTCCCAATAATGCGAGCTTGCATGGTAGTGTATTTATCGAATCGAATAAAACACCCCTCGGACACACGTGTTTGGTGGCAGCCGTCCGAACAGGCAACTGCAGGCTGGTAAAGTGCACTGGTGAGGATCTTGTCGGTACTGGTGTATAGGTCTCTCTTCTGGTGTATTGTGGCGCATCTGTGAAAGCGGCTGATCCTGGCGGAGTTACTCCAGTGGAGGCGGCAGATGATCGGTACGGCTGATCCTCGAGCATGAATAGACGTGGGTTCGAGACGTAGTGCGCGCATTTTTCTTCAGGGATGATATGATCGAGGCTTTGATCGGCCGGAGTTCATTGCAGAGAAGGTGACCCATTCCGCACGGTCCTTTCTAACAGCTCTGTCTGGAGGATTCTCCTAGTCCATGCACAAATTAGATCATTT